CTGACAAAATATTACAAGTCTTAATAATGTTTCTACGGTAATATTTTACAACTAAAAGGCAGGGTAGTCGATTTTCCGAAATAATAGATTTTAAATGCATATTAAATAGAAAAAAGTAATCGACGGGGGACAAGCACAGCGCGGTGAAACACTACATCATATAATATACTCACAGATGCAGTGTATAACAATATTATCGCGTCGTATTCGTGAATAAAATCATAAATAATATAATATGTATTATTATGCTATAATAATACGCATAACACACACACACACACACACACACACACACACATATAAGTATAATAATTATCGTACCCACGAAAACAACAATGGACAGCCAGGGATAGATTATTATATTACATACATACATATATATATATGTATATATTATAATGGACCAATATAATAATAATAATAATAACATGTACCTACCTACACTACACTATGAGAAATACGCACGACGTTTCGTTCTATTATATTATTATTATTATGACTTCTATAAATCGTGGCGCGTATAAAACATAATAATATTATATTATAATATGGGCACCACGGTCCACACAATACTACAATGTGGTGTTATTATAATATTATTATATTATACGGGTGGCATGCACGCTGTACACATCACACATAAATTTTATGAGAATATAATAATATATAATTCGAGACGCCGCGGAAAACAATATAACTGCATTCGGGTGCACAATCCATGCACAATCGCATGATAATCATAATCTATTACCCCACCGCGACACAGTAATAGGAGGTACCTTCCATGTTATTATAATATAGTCTATATGGAAAATAATATTGTGAACCGACGATATAATTATTGTTTATTAATTTAATAATATTCGCCTAGCGCCGCAAACGTGCACCAAATGTACAAATATACGCATTGATATTGCGCGGAATGTGATTTTTTGACTTGAAAACGTTTGCGCTCCGGACCGGAAGCCGATGGCTGGTCCTTTATAGCTGCGGTATACGTAAAATATATTATAAATGTGTTTTTATTATTTTTTGTCGTCTCGAGTCCATTTCACGGTTACGACGATTGATTTCATAACATATAATGGTACACAGCGCGAGTGCATCGGCCCACTAGTATCTTCAATATCTAATATATATAATGAAAGACTGCAGTTATTTGTCCAGAGCCCGAAGACTGTGAGTTTTGAAAACCAAGTCTATGCACCTACTATATCGTATACCCATACCGGTAGTTCGTTTACTGTTTACATATACCTTATGCAGTATACATATACACGATAATGATATATAATGGATACATGATTATATCCGGTTTAGTTTCGGAAACTATTGTTTCACGCCCAAGAGAAAACATCTTTCGGCAGTAAATAACAGAAAATCAAAATCAAAATAAATTACTTCTCAACACGGTATCACACAGCTAATTATTATCGCTAATACGAAGTCGTCCGCGGTACAATCGTCCGATTCATTTTTATTCCTATTATTATTCGTAGAAAGTCCATTAGTGAGCGTGTAGTACACCTATAGGTATATAATATTATATAAATTATAAACATAGTACCCAACTATATATATGTATAGGTATATGTTGTGCGAATACAAACCGACAAAAAAAAATAAAGTATATAAAATATATATAACTTGTAACCGGGTGCAATGCTGCTGCAGGAGAAATCTATATTATAACAAAAGTTTTTTGTTCACGCCAAATCCGCCGGAAAACCATACACACACACACACACATCACAGGTTCGCGTAAATCATTTAGTAGATGTAATAACGCAAATGAATAGAGAGGTACGTGGTTTCCTGTGAAAAAAACAAAAAAAACTTTTTAACGAAATATTTTGTAAATATTACATGACGCGCCTCATTGCCTCTGAGTGCGACGTTTGAATTATTATTAAAAAAAAAAAAATCTAGGTACGAGTACAGAGGAATCTCATTCGAAACCGAAAATTATCTTTTTAAATCTTAAAAAAAAAACCCGTAGATAGGTATATTGTGGTAGGTGTTCACATCCCGACACGTTTTTACCCCGCAGTGGTCCGTGGTCGTCCAGCTAATAATATATAATAATAATTGTTATTATTATTGTCCACGCCGCGTCGGCCCGTAAAAAAACGTTTGGCTTTCACTGTTGGCTCTGCCACTGCAGCTCTGTTGTGCCGACAGTATAAATGATGATGACAAAGGAAAAAAAACATTAATATATTCTGTGATGGAGGTATAAAAATTAAAGCCTTAAAGAATCGCCATAATTCAAAATCGTGAAATCGATCAGACTTTCCACCGTGCAATCAAAATATCTTTGAAATAATAAAAATAATTACCAATAAGACGTATGAAATTGAAGGCGCTGCAGCGGTAGGTAGGTATTAAGTCACGTTTCTAAAATATACGTATTTCACGTTTTCAGTGTAGTGTACCATATTATTATTTCTACAACACAAATATTGGTGTTAAAATGTGTTTTGTGTTTTTCCACAACACACTAGTACCTATAGGTACTATACATATATATTTTAATATAAAGGCAGTTTTGTTGAGAATAAGAAACTGTCGTTATTGTAACATAGGTATAATACGTCTAAAAGTCTGTATAATATATACACATTTAACTTTAATCCTCGATATCAATTATTTTTGTTATTACTATAGAATCGTAGTTTTAAATAGATAGATATGTACACGCGAGACTGAGACACCTGTAGCCCAACTACTGATTTGAATGGCATGCGCCCTACATTTGGTGAAAATCCCAGTCGTGTAATATTTTACTATAGTGGTTTTGATTTCTTCGTTCTCCGAGTCAACTTATCATAACTAGAAATAAAAAAGGGGTGAGTAATCTAGGGGACATAGCCACATAGGCCTCAAAGTTTGCCATATATTGTTCGATACTCTAATCTGGGCCACGGTAACAACACCCCCACTCCCCCCACCGAATAAAATTCAAGACTTAAACGGTCGACACATTTTTTCCTCGATATTTTTTTAATTTTTAGCGAGTTCAGAGCACTTTCAAATTTTAATATTGTTCTTAAAATAGCAGGTACATTCTGCATTTTCTACTCCCCTCAAAATTTAAAATATCAAAAAAAAAATGCTTCCAAAGAACCACAAACAATGTTGCGTTACCACCTAGCTTTAGGTTTGTTCAATGACAGCCATTTTGGCCAATTCCATTCGCTCTAAAATATTTAAAACCAACGAAGCTAAAAGTCGACTGCTGCGTGAGCGTGTACATTTTTTGATATCATAATATTATGTTAAGCACTCGTAAGACGGGGACGACGAATGCGGGTGAGACGTCCTTCTTGATACCAAATTAGGCAGTCAACGGATTGCAGGAAACCGTTCACCGAGAGAACAGGTTTGTAAATTCGCATTTGCGGGTAAAAATGTATCATTATACCCAGGTACATATACATGCAGAGTATGGTGTATACGAATTTTGACAAATAACTGCAAAGAGCCTACAAGGTGAATTTTTTTTGTTCATCACTTTTTATCGGTAAATTTGTGTTGACAGGGTCAAATTGGTGAGTATGATCACAGTGATCAGATCACTTGTCGGTAATTCACTTGTGGCACAGTGTTTGCCGAAAACGTATTACGGGCTGTCGTAGTTAATTTATTAATTGGTATTTTCGATTCGAACCCGCGTAGAGACTTTAATAATTATTATAATATGCAATAATTTTCGACAGTCAGTGCCACGCGAGTCGGACATCGGGAAATGCAACATATTTATGAATTATGATTATATACAATATACTATTATAGTGTATATAGGGTTTTATATATTTATAATCCTCGATAGACCGTTGGAATATTTTACATTTAACTGTGTTTAAGAAAAATTTAACAAATCTTAATGAATTATTGTACATATTATAGTATACTGATTTTATACATTTTTTTAAATATAATATAAATTATAAAGTGACTAAATAAACAAAGCATAAATTATATGTATTACAAATATCATATGAACAGCATATTTATTTCAAACTTTTAACAACTTAAAAATCTGATTTCTAAAAAAAAACAATTTAAATAATTATAACTAATTATTATCATTACACGGCCAGCATCAAACGCTGAGTTGATGCTTATCGTATATTTGTATTTATAATGTATAATATTATGTGCACATATATAATATACATTATTACAATTCGTCTACGAAACTAATAAGACAGATAAAGTTATACTACAATATTCAAGTAATTAATATACACGCATGCTTTTTGCGAGAGCGATCTCCTAGAATTTATTGAACCGCTCGAATCTCGGTTTTAAACCGGATTAAAATGTAACATAAAAAAAAAAATGTACATTTTACTATACGTGATGCCCGTCTGCGGAAGAATAAATTGACACTGGAATTGTATTTGAATATGTCGTATCATATCTTTCGGGAACTTACTGTGTATTCACTACAGTATAACTATACTTAAAGTTTAGCGTTTATTGTAGGTTTCCCTCGGCAAATGGCATTAAAGTGAATTGAAAATAAATATACACATATAATTTATTAACTATTAATAAGCTATCTATAGGTTTACTCCCGTAGTTGTTCAAAAGCGCCGGAAATAATCATTATGCGCATAGTGTCGGGACAGCTTAAAATCCCACACGAAAATTATGTCTAAATAATAAACGAATAAAAAAAAAACCAAAATGGCACTACAAAACTACATAAAAATGTGTCCGCAAGATGAGATAGCTCGTCATATTTTGTTTTTGTTCTGGGTATTTAAATGCCTATACACTTAATTTCAGTGCCAGAGTAGGAAGTCAAACAATTCGTTTTTTACAAAAATACCTGCGATTTGGTCAATGCCCCCAGTCGCCCAGTGGATTAAGCTGTTCTGATTTCGTTTGTGGGGTGCCCCTTTCCTGTGTTCATATACCTATATAGTATTACGTAACATGCAATTGTAAACGTTTTTGTCTTAATTCTTAATGAGATGTTTTTGTCGCAGGAGATGACGACCGACAGAATTCCCATATGGCTTTACGACAAGAAACTTTGGATCAACGACGCGGACAGGCGTACCACGTGCGCCGACGTGGCGACCACGTTGACGGGCCACGGCAGTGACTACGCGGTGGCCGTCGACGGCGCGCACACGGCCACCATGGTGGCAGATCCCGGAGTCAGGGTGCTGAAGATCTGGCAGAGCCTGCGGCCGGACCAAAAGCTTTGCTTGCGAAAAGTTGGCGGCAACGGCTACCACCACCGCGCCAACAACATTGACAGCGGCGGTGGCTGCGACGACGACGACGCAGCGTCCGAGATGAGCGGTTACCGCGGTGCTCACAGGAAGCGCCGCCGGGAGGTTGTGGTCAAGTACGCTTCGCGGACGGTGCACCCGAAGCGGCTGAGCAACACGCAGGCGGCCGAGGAGCTGCTGAAACTCATACTCGAGCAGAGCGACACGATCCGAGCGCAGCTGAAAAAGTTGCAGGACCGCGACAAGAAGATCGAGAAGATCGAGACGGAGACGCACAGGACCCGGGCGGACGCGTTGGGATCGAATTACCTGTTGGACGCGTACCTAGGGGGCGGCGGCGGATGCGGTGACGACAAGGAGGAAAAAGACAGCGGCATCACCGAAGGCGCCAGTGTGGAGAACGACGACCACGACGACGAAAACGAAGACGACGACGACGACCGCGGAGGTTGTGGTGTTGGGGGTAGAGGAGTTGTCGGCGAAATCGCAGACTCCGGGACTCCGCCGCCGTCGTCGACGCAAGAGGCCATCGCCTACCTGGAGAGGATCGTCAAGATCAACAAGAAGTTGTACGAATTCGAGGAACGTCTGATCCGGTTGTACGTGAACGTGGAACGGTGCCGGGACCAGGAGCAACTGCTGGACGAGCTGAAACGGGCCGAGACCGAGATGGCCGACACCGAACGGTTATATCGCGAAAACACCCTGCTGATACGCGACACCGACACCGAACTGCGAGCCAGGCTGGGTTACATCGAACAGTTGCAGTACGAGGCGGCCATCGTGGACAGCGAGAACGAGTACCTGATGGGGTCCATCGAACACCTGCAAGGTCGACACCACAATCCACAGAACCAGGTCGAAAACTACCAACCCCAACATCATGCGGCCGCTTGTCGGGTGTTGGACACATTGGTCTAGGACGGTTCAGTGCTGTAGCGCTGTATACTTCCACAATAGGGTGTGAAAATCCCCAAATGTTGAAATGTCTTTTTTTGTTTGTTTTGTTTACCTTGTACATTGCAAACAGTGTGTGTTATTCGACTATACGTTATTATTACTTTGTATGTACATTTCAATAAATATTATTGTCGTTATTAAAATATTATTATAATGACCGATGCATTGCGGTTGACCAATTGTTTATATACGAAAAGGGGAATTTTTAAAAAGAAAATTTTACTACTAACGGAATTTATATTATGATTAATGTACCTATGATTACACATTTATACATTTATAAAAAAAATTGTTTTGGTACTGTGATTTCCTAATAATTAACAATCGCACCAAACATATTTTGATATTTACATATTATTACAGACTACAGTCTACACTATACAGGACTAGTTTCAGAATTTTAGCGTTTTGCACAGGGCACATAAAACACGCAGAACATTATATTTTATACAGAAACGTAAATAATAAAATAAACACCTAAGCTTATAGATAAATGTATTAGTTAATTAAATCATGTAATGTATTTTTTCTTCTTCTGGAAAATTATAGTACTTACTTGTTACTATAAATGTGTTAGATAACCGCAAAACCATCTCTCAATTCGCGTCAATTAAAAGTGAACATGTCAAAAAAATATTTAATTCAATGGAACTGTTAACATAGGTACTTATGTATATTTTCAATAATCAAGATCATTTTTATTTTGTGGACTTGTGGTAGCTATACTTATTTTTCATTCCCATAACATTATTCTTTATGTATGTAAATAAATATTATATTATATTTTAAGAGTTTGCACATTGCACCCCAGTGTTGAGAATATTATTACAGTAGAACGTCGATTTACAGACAGTCAGTCTCAGGACTAGTCTTGACGGAGAATGAAAAAGAAAGCTAAGCAAGAAATGACATATTTTTTAAACATATTACATACCTATATAATACACAGTATTTACTTATTTGTTTAATAATTATGACATATTTATATGCGAACTATTACTTTTAGATGTTAAACAAGTAGTAACTAACTGACTATCAATACAGTAATCCCTCATTATCCGCGGTTTCGATTGTCTGCGGTTGAGTCCACGATGAAATGTTAAATACGATAACGTTTTATCATTATTATTCGAACACTATCGATAATTTTTATTTTTAACAACTGAAGATAATACAACTATGTAGGTACTTTTGTATTTATTATAGATAAATACCACATAAGGTACCTACAGAGTTTTTCCATTCTTCCTAATACATGTTTGTACAGTTTGTTTATAAATAATTAATAAATTGGAAAATTAGATTAATTAAAAAATGGTAAAAATATGTATACATCTTATTATAGTGGTTTATAAAAATTAAGAAAATAAAACCTAACCTCCTTCTTTATATTGATTTATGGTTTCATTATCCGTGGTTTCGTTATCCGCACAACCTCCGTGGATAACAAAGGATTACTGTACAAAGACAAGACTGTTTTTATTTCATCAATAAATTGTATTATTGCTTATCTAGCAGATATTACCAGAAGATCCAGGTTATACTGGCTCAAACAAAATTAGGCTCTCTGATGTTTAACCAAGAAAAACAAATAATCAGGAAATGAATAATCGAGGTTCTACTGGAATAAGATTCATATTACTGCCAAGTTAATGAAATGGAGTGTTGGGCGTAAATCTTTAACAATGAAGGTTTACTCTTTAATATATTGTGAAAAAAACTGTAAATAATTATAAACAAATGTATACCAAATTACCAAAGCATAATATTACTGTTAAGTAATTTATAATTTTGTTTTTAAAATAAATAGAATAAAAATTCAATATCCAATGTTTTATTTAATCAGTTGAGGCATATTAGTAAAAAAAAATGTATAATATTCTTAATTCTTAACTTAAGTTCCATTATGTTTATTCTGTCTCCATTGCAACTGCTGGTATAGCATCACTAGGAGGGGCACCAGGTCCGTCTTGTGGTGGCTGAGATCCACCACTTGATGAATCGGTTGTTGGAGCTGGAGCTCTCCTTTCCTCGCCTTCAATTAATGATAATTTTGCCTGAGTTTTTTCCTCATCATAAATCTCAAATAGCTGATTTTTGCCCACAACAGCAATTGAAACATTCTATAAAATAAACGATACAAATTAATAATAGTTCTGATAACTTTAAATAAAAAGTAATTACCTTTGAAGTTAGATTGACATCATTGGGCAGAGTGTCCCTCAAAGCTCTCATACCATGTTTCAGTAATTCCTCCAAACTTGCTTCCTTAAATGCGTCTAAATTTCTTTCCAAGTATGTACGAGCACTTTGTGATCGTGAGCCAATAGCCATAGCTTTACAACTTGTGTAGTTTGCAGAAGGGCATGTTTGGTAAATATGAGGACCATTATCCTATAACAACATGTATCAATGTTAAAACTATTAATTTTATGAATCGCAGTGGCTTGGAGTGAGAAAGACCATTGTTATTACACAATTTCAATCACATTATATACAAAAAATTTGGATTTTAGTTCACCAAGACTAATATTATAATAAGAAATGTTAAAGCTTTAAATTTAGCACACATTGGGTAATAATTTAAGTTGACATTGATCACTTTTACACTAAGTCACAGAACTAAATTTAATATATAATATTTATGAAGTAAATACTCACATCATAACCAGCTACAAGTAGACCAACCCCATATGGGCGTTTATCATACCGATGTGTGCACAATTGCATTCTGTTACTAACTTTGGTCATCAATCTATTAACTGGAAGATCATCTCCATGGGCAAACTTATGTGAAGAACATTCCGATCGCATATACTTGCTACAACCAAAAAATTATAATATTTTATTTATTAAATTTTAGAAATTACTACAATAAATTCATAAAATACCTATCCTCGGAAACATAAATATTATTTAAATCTTACCTTAGAATGCGAGCATCAGCCAACAAACCAGAAAATGAAAATCCAAGATGATCATCTACAAGTATAATTTTTTTTTGATAAGCTGATAGCTCATTTGGTGCACGCTTGAGCGCAACAATAGCAGCATGTGTTTTATTCTTTAATGCAACTACTGCTGAACCTAATTTTACAGCTTCCATGGCATATTCCACTTGATGCAAGCGGCCCTGGGGGCTCCATACTGTTACATCACTATCATACTGATTACGAAACTGAAATAAAAAATAAAATAAAAACTCAATTGAGGCAGATGATAACTAAATACCAAAACCCTAAACGAACAAACAGTAGCAGAATAATTTGATTATATTTCAATAATGCCATCTTTCATGTAGGTAATCTATTAATTTCATAATTATATAGATAAATAAATAATAACATAAATATATTTACTTAAGATAATCTACCTTTAAAAGAATATACTATTGAATCCAAAATTAACAATATAAACTTTTTTTAAACAAAAACTAGGTTAAAGTTTTGGACTATCTAAGGTAAATAAGTATACTAATTTTAGACACTAAAATCATGTAAATAGTCAATCCTGTGAACGATTTAAGTGATTAAACTACGATGAAAAGCAATATAACAATCAAATATGAAACTAATATACAACATAAATCATTATCATAATATTATGTTAAATTGGAATTCATTTCACTGAAAATTATAATTGTTACCATTGAGTATTTTAACTCAATATCCAAATGAAATATAACCAATTCCTAAATAACTTTCTTAATAACTTTCTATAAAATAAACATAAAGGGGTATACTCTCTTTTACTTATAAATATACTAAATAATAAAGATTACCTATATTACATTCAATACAATTGCAATATCTTTACACTGATTCTTTGGTTATTAGAGTTCAGAAAAGAAATAATAATACCGAATAATAACAATAATGAATTATTGAACTTACCATGTTTGAATTGGTTTCTTTTTATATACTTAACACGCAAAGTAACTTAAAAGTTAATAAAAAACAAAAAATCGTCGAACAACTCTAACAATGATACGCGGATATTGTAATCTTTTGAAGAATATATTATTTTTAAGTGACTTGTTATTTTGCTTTGCTCGAACTGAATTGAACCGGGACAATTGTTTGAGGTTAACACGATACAGTGGTGGCAACCTGAGCACTCCCGACATAAACACTGATGTCCGAACTTCATAATCACTGATGTAGGTACATCACTACATCGTACAGTTTGTAATTTGTATTGTTTCTATGTTTTTATTTTACATAGTTTGCAATATCTAAATTTATTTTTTTTACACTACAATATTATTTATTACTTACTATTATTATTAACTATTATACCGCTTCCATGAATTCACAATACTCACGAAATATCACAATAAATATATTGTTGTATTAAATCGTATTCTAATATCTATTATTCGGTAGTTCTGGTAGCTTAATTTTGACGCTTTTGGTGTGTAGTAATATTTTGTAAATATAATAACAATGGAAAACATAGAAAAGTATATTCCGGTGTGTGAATGCGAAGGCGAAGATTTTATGGAGATACCGTTGGAGAGCGATGGTACTCTTTCAACAGCTACACTGAGTGCATACTTTCCTGGAGTCACAGGTCTCAAGTTCCGTCTCGATTCATATTCACCGTATAGAGCACTTAGACTGTACGACGGTAAATTCCACGCTCCTGAAGGCAGTTGGGCCGGTCACAAGTTCTATTGTGTCCATCCCAAGGGTGTGTAACTAATATAGCTACTTATTAATACAATTATGGTCCAAATTGAGTGGGCCTGTTATAGGGATGGGTTTTTCAATAATTATTACAATTATTTTTCCTTAAAAGGCGATAAAAGAAAACTCGAAGAGACTGACTACAAACCGTCTAAGGGTAACCACAGTATGAGTTGTACAGATCTGATTGTTTTGGGTTTACCTTATCAACTGTCAGAAACTCAAATGCGAGAATATTTTGTACAATTCGGAAAACTAGTCATGGTTCAGGTATTAAACAGTGTTTGCATTAAGTATTTAAGTAATTGAAAATATATTACAACTTGATTGATATTCAGATTAAGCGAGATGCATCTGGAAATTCTAAAGGATTTGGTTTTATTCGATATGAAGATTATAGTTCTCAAGCAAAAGCCCTCGGACAGCGGCATTATGTAAATAATCGATGGGTTGAAGTCAAAATACCTGCCTCAAAAGTAATATTTTTTAAATATAGATATTAGCTTGAATACATTAACAATAATTGTGTGTACACTTACTATACCTATAAGCACTACCAGGATACTTAGATTCCACATATTTTTTTGATTTTCGAATAAATAAATTGAAATTTATTGTTTAACAGTTAGAATGTAGATTAGAATATTGTACTTAATAACACTATACCTATTCTTCTATAAAGAAATTTCAGGTTATATATAAAGATTTGAAAACAAAACTTTTATTGTTATATTTTATTAGGAAGGATATTATTCTAAAGTACCGCATAAGATATTTGTCGGTCGCCTTACTGAAGATATCAGTGAACCTGATTTAAGTAAATATTTCTCTCAGTATGGCGAAATCACAGATGTATTCATACCTAAACCATTTAGAGCATTTGGTTTTATTACCTTTAACGATGCCTCTGTAGCACAAAGCCTTTGTGATGAAGATCATATTGTTAAAGGAGTATCTCTTCATATATCTGAAGCAAACCCTAAGTCTGACCAAAGCAGGGTAAGTTGAATAACTTTTCATCTTTTTCAATTGTTATATACTGGTGCTGATATTGTATAGGATAAACAAGTTAGTAACCAACAACAATATATGAGTAGTGTTCTAACAAATGGAATGCTTGCTGCAGCACTTAACCAAGTTGCATATCAAACACAACCAATTCCTTACCAAACCCATCGAACATATGGAAAAGTACAAGACTGGAAACGCCGGGGTAATTAATGTAATCTGCTATTTTTAGACTAAATTAATGTGAATTGTGATGGTTAATGATTGACTAAAGGTGTGTCCTCATCTTCCCTTCCTTTCATTTATCCTAGTCATAATAATTAACTAGTTCTCATAATTCAAACCAATTAAATATAAAATAAAATACTTTTCAACTATTTAATTACTTAATCACATTACAATTCATTTATAGTATTATGTGTTTAAACAAATAAATTGTAATTTATGACTGTTATATTTTGTGAGTGTTATTATAAATATTGTGTGTTTTGGTTTTTTTTTTCATCTTTCCATTGAGTGTTGTTATAATTTATAATATATAAATAATTGCATTAGTAATAGTTTTCTACCAAAATATTCGATACTACTTGATGTAATGTGAGAATTTTCTAGCAGTTTACGACATGTGAGCGAGAGCGTGTGGTATTAATATGAATGATGGATGTATCAGCCTAGTCATCAGTATTAAAGGTGAGATTTCCATGGTCCTTTTAAATGTTTTCCTTACATCCAAATAATGTTTAACTTATTACTTATTTAGAATTTGGTAATAATTTATATCATTACTGTCTTTATAAAAATATTTAAAAAAGAACAGACGTTAGTGAATCAATTTAGAATATTTTCATTAATTTATTTAAAATAATAAAAATACATATAGAAAAGGTTAGAACAGATTAGTTAGTTAAATTCAATTTTGTTGATTTTAATACTTTTTTTAAAATTTATTGGGGCGAACAATACTTTCAAACATTTAATGTTTTTAAGATATGTTAAGGTAAAATTGGGTTCTTGAAGGTAAATTATTAGTTGAAAATTAGAACAGTGGTTGTCTTACTTACACCTACAATAGACGTACCGAATCTAAAGCGAAGTACCTCATTTATTCATGCCAATATTTATTAAGTTTACCACTGGTAATTCTAAAATATAATACTCTTATACCTGGATTTCATTAAAGCACTTAAATCTAGTCTTGCTTCTTTCCACTAATATTCATTTGAAAATATAATGAATATTCATGAAATATTATATCATTAATGTATTTAATACTCAATACAATATATAAATATATATACAGTAGTTAGTGAAAATATAAAATCGTTGTCTGTTTTTTTTTAAAGTTATTGATACGTCTTATACTCTACACATATTAGGTACTTTGAAAATAATTTTTTTAACTTTATGTTAATTAAATTTTTCATTATTTATAGTACAACCAAGTTATGAAAATGATCGATTAGCAATCTTAAACTGGTGGTTTTGCCCCATGTTAACTGGTGATCTTCTTGACTTGGTCGCACTATTTTTAGTGTACTTAATTACATTTTTAATATTTATTTTGTTTTGTTTTACAGATCATACAAATTCTGAAACCTCGAATGCAATTTCTCTATATATTTAGGTTACATTAGTTACTAAAAAAATATATCCTATTTTATAAAATCAAAATAAATATTATATTGATTATACAACTGTTGTACCACTGCATTTTCTGTAATCTATAGTTTTATGTTGACATTTAATAAAAACAAAATGTATATTGTCATAATTGTTTTGAAGAATAAGGGCTAACTTAAAAAAATTATATTTTTAACTTATTGAATTTGAAATATTTTATTTTTAAAAATTCTTGTAAGAATTCAAATTCCACAATTTATTGAAGTTTTTCTTGACATAAAATAATTTCAATTAAATCATTTTTTTATTTTACTTTTGATGATGTTATACATTATATCTTTAAATTAAAAAAAAAAACCTAAATATGCTTTGTCCTATAACTTTTAAATGTATTTTAATATTATTTACATATAGATTTGATAAATTTTAATCAATTTCATTAAACTAATAATAGTATGATATAACTCTTTACCTTAAATAGCATAATGAATCAATTAATTCTATTATATAAAAATAATAAAACTATTGATTTTGCAAAAAGTAAATTTACTATACCATGTATATTTAAGACAGATACAATAAATATAACATCAAGTTTTCTTAAAAATAGAATAAAATAAAAATAGGTATAAAAAATCATCATTTATTTTTCAAATCCCCAAGGATCTAACTGTTGATTATGTGATTCCATAATGCAGACTGATGATTCTGCGATCTTTGCTAATAACTTCTTTAGATCAGCTTGAGAGAATAACTGAAAATAATAATCACGTATAATTAATAATTATTTACATATTTTTAAATTTGTTTTAATTGCAATTACTTGGTAGAACTTATGGGTCTTGTCTGTTATGTAACTAGCTAACTTCAAACATTCAGTGTATCTTTCAGCACTATGCAATATAGTATGTAACAGCATAAAAATCTGAAATAAAAATAAGATTGTGCAAATTAGTTATAAATAATTTAAAATTATTAGGCTTGTAAAAAAAATTCCGTGGTAATACCACCATTATATTCACCTTTGGAATACATATAGTTCGCAGAAGTTCAAAGTGTTCATGACGATTTTTATCCTCATTTTCGTGGTCAACAAGCCAGCCATTGGGGAAAAAAAGCAAATTAAAGAGTTGTTCAACAACAATCTGAAAATTTAAATCAACACTTTACCATCATTTTAAATACGACAAAATAGCTACACATACTTGGGATGAACTTGATACAATTTTTTTCCAATTGGTTAATGCAGTTTGATATTGTTCCATGTTATGGTCGTAAATTAGTTTTTTAGCATAATCTGCATTTCCGTGCAGTTTGATAGGTTCAATTGGTTTGGTTTGATGATATTCATGAAACCATTCAGCGAACCCTTCTTCTGCATCCTAAATTAAAAATGCATGAATTATTTTATTTGAGAATTCCCAATTGTCTTTGGCATTCAAAATAATGGAAAATTACTTACCAAATAACATTTATATGCTAAATATTCCAAGATGAGTGATTGTATTTTTTTAGAAACTGATATCATATCCATCTCTAATAGTTTTTCAAGATCAATATCAGCATTATTCAATATTCTATTGATTGAATCTTTCTGAACCTAAAGTTTTACTTAATGGTATTAAAGTTCTACTTTACTCAAATAAAGTAATATACCTTATTAAACGCTAAGCGGGCTGCTTGGATTTTCCCTTGTGCGACAAAATTACGAACAACTGCA